CATAACCCGAAAAGTTTGTTAACAGAGGCGTTCGTAACCCGAGGTACCACTGTAACTATTGGTGTAAAATTAATGAAATGGAGACTGACAGACTTCCAAAGTTGTGTTTACTAGAACAAATAAAATCCCAATTGCAGACCTCCTGGATTATACAGTTGACAAATTATATAAGAAGCTGTGGTCTTCCTGTCTCTCATGCAACCAGAGAATAAGTCAAAAAGAGAGCTGGTCAAAGAATCTCGGATATAGAAGCACAGAAGGATATAGCCACACTTAGTAAGGTTGGCAATTTGAAATGGCTGAGCCAATATAAACATACTTTTCAAATTGCCAACTATTTAAAGATACAAATGCCAAAACACCTTAGGGAGGTATTTACCCGAGTGAGATTTGACCAGCTTGACACAATGGTCAGGTATGGGAGGTTTCATCGTATTCCTTATAACGAACACATCTGTATCTGTGGAGCGTCAGAGATAGAATTAGCACATACATTATTTGATTGTAATCTGTATAAGAAGGAGAGAGAGATGTATCTTGGACCACGCATCAAATGAATGACCCATTGGGAACCACATATTAAAACAACATATTTTATGTGTGGTCACAATTCGAGAATAACATATAATATAGCTAGGTACTACAGTAAAGCAATATGGTTGAGATCTGCATAGGTGGGGTTGATAGGGGTTAATTGTAGGGGTGACATGATTTGTAGGGGAGACATGATTTGTACTCTCATTTGTATATTTAATCACTGTATCTTATTCTCATTTTACTTAATTTGTTTTTACATAGGGTTTTATTAATATTTTGTGTCTGAAATTTGTATTTTGATATGGCCTAAGGGCTAATCAATAAATTTTGATTTGAGTAGAGTAGAGTAGAGTAGAGTAGAGTAGAGTAGAGTAGACTTTCTGCAAGAAGGATCCACCATCCACCAGAACTCAGGTTTCCTAAAACAAACTGCCTAAAGATTGAAAGAGACTATCTTAGCCCTGCTGTTGTCCATCTCGTAGCTTCTAGGGAATCATTCTTCTAGGAAATTATCAGTAAACAACATTTATAAAGGATTTGGAAAGCGTTCAGTGCAGATTGGCACCTCAGGGTGCCGTAGTGCTCACAATGGCACTACGTAGTGTCCACTGATCTCCTAATGTCTTAAAAACAAATAGTCTAATATTAGACAACTAAATATGAAATGAAAATGAATATAGGAGATAATTAAAATATTTTGTATTAGAACACTTGGAACTGGGGTGTACTTATGTTTTATTTACTATGTCCAAAGTCTTTTTGAAATGTTGCATGTTACAGTAAACTATTTTCTTCTTTTTCTGGTATATATTAAGTAACAAACCAAATCCCAACCAGATCAGTGTAAACAGCATTAAACCAAGAATGATGAATGGTACAGGAATACAGCCACAAACACAGAATATGGGAACAGGCCGTGCTTGTGAAAGCTGCTATAGTAAGTGATTTATGCATTTAGCCACTTATAGTAGCATTGTGTGAAATCCTGCCTCCTATGAAAAAAGAATTCCTTTAACAAGTAGGGAGGAAATTCTGCACTTAGCTTATTAAATGCATGCAGTAAATAAAAGATGTCTCTCTCTTTTATACTAAAAATGCGAGTGTGTGCTTCCTGTGGTGCTGGGCTCTCTCCTAAAGTCAGCAGCACATTTTGGAATGGTGAGATGACCAGACAATATTACATAGGCACAGAAACATTTTAACCAATCCCTGCAGCGTCATTCAAAGCCTGTGTGTTAAGATTAAATCTTCATGGTTTCTGTGTATCACACTTATGGGGTCTGTGTCTGCATGGAGTACTGTATTGGAACATTTTCAATTTAAAGAATTTACCTTGTCCTCCACGTACATATCCTCACTGGGCACAGTTCTCACCATCCCATTTAGTTTCTCTTCAACTTCTCTAGCTGCACCACTGTGAGAAGCACTGTAAGAAGTACTTTCTACCTGCTGATAGAATCATAAATATGAAAGGATCATCAAGTCCAACTTCATCATTGCTTTTTTTTCCTTTTAGTCTTTTTCCTCTTCATTCTTTCTATCCCCTTGTTCATTTTGTTCTTAATAACATTTTTATTTTTCTCAGAAAGAACCTCAGATGGTCTTGGGCAATGTTTTGTGGTTAATGGCCTCAAATTCTTCCCTTATGGCAATAATCTTCCCCAAACCCCTGACATTCCCAAAACTGCCTATCTTTGGGAGAAATTAATTCAGGAATACCAGCCCATGCTGCTAGTTTAGTAAAGTAATCTGAATTAATCTTCCTGTCTCCGAGCAAGTGCTTAAAATGGTCATTACTTCAGATCTGCATCACCTGGAAGTGCAACGGCATCTTTGGGATGTTAGATAATTCAACACCCTAACCCTAACTCTTCTTTTTTCCTCCTCCCCACTCTACATTTTTGGTAATTTATTGAACAAAAAAGCCACTACTACCACAATGAATTAACATAATCAGTACAGAAGACTATGTCAAGGAAGTAGAAGTACAGAAACATTGTGGGAAAATGAAAGGGAAACTAAAGCTGATTATAATCAAATGCATATCTTGGGCTTTAATGGTAGCGAATAAGCTCAGAGTAATGGTAAGTACATTTTTGTGGCAAGACAAGCTAATTGACAGAGATGCTCAAAATAAGTGGAACTTCATAAAAAGGAATAAATAGTAAAAGCACAGTTGCAAACAATTCCAATGTGAGAAGAAATAGAGGGTCAGGAGAGGAATCCAGTGGGGCTGCAGAAAAAGCTTTGTGAAAACCAAAATGAATACGAATAGCAAATGGAAAGATCAGATTGCCACAAAATAGTATTTACATTGTCAACTGTATGGCATTTAAGAGTGGGTAAGATTGAAATGACATAATGGGTAAAATGCCAGATGACTAGAGGAAAGCCAGTGTAGTTCCTATCTTCCAAAAGGAGAAAAATAAGGATCCATGAATTACAAATCCATCATCTGGTATCACTACATTGAACATTGTTCAATGTAATTAAATTGGTTTAAGACCTCAATTGATTCCCCAAGATTAATAAAAGTAGAGTTTCCAAGTTAGCAAATGGCATTGAAACCAAAATGTTCATATAAAAATGCTTATATTGAATAAACTGTCAAGAAACTCTCTGAGATTAAATTCAGTTTTAAGTTTTACAGAAGTTTAAAAACACTTCAGTAAAGCTAAACTGGTCAAGGCCCAGTTTCCCCCCTACGAAAGTTTTTATCAGCTATTCCTAAGCCAACGCTGTTTCATAATACAATTTTTTCATGTGTAAAGGGATCAGAATTATTCATTTGATTTGATTTGATTTGATTTGATTTGATTTGATTTGATTTGAAGCTACATTTCCAAAATCTTTATCCCAGCCTATAATTAATGGTAAAATAAATGCCCACTGATAAAAAGTACGAAAAATGGAATTTCTGTTTCCAAATAGGCAATTGTAATTTAATAAAAATTTTAGAGTAACACTGCTAAATAAAATGTAATTGCTTATACATTGAGTTAAATAGTATAAAGGAATAAAAATTAGATTTCTTGAAATATGTCAACATCAGAATTATATTAATCTTAATCATATTTTACATCAATGTTCAAATTCTACATCAACTTTCTAAATCTTATTTCATTTGTCATCATTAGAGGTAAAGATTAAATGTTATCCATTTTGAGAGTCTTTTAGGAATTGTATAAAAGAATCAGGCATAACATAACACCCCAAGCCTGCCTGCCTGCCTGCCTGCCTGCCTGCCTGCCTGCCTGCCTGCCTGCCTGCCTGCCTGCCTGCCTGCCTGCCTGCCTATCTATCT